CCCCAAAACCCCAAAACCCCAAAACCCCATATTTTTACAAAAAATTGAAATGCCCAAAGATTACTATAATCAATGAAATTTCGCTGAATTGTGTAATGTTTAATCTTGGAATTTCCACGCAAGAAGCCATCTCTTAGTGAATCCCTTCTCAATGGTCCCTGAAGTGTAGATGATATCATGAGGAACCATTGTGTCTAAGTACTTCTGTAGGAACACAAAGTCCATCTTTCTGCCTATGAAGGTAGTGAACCATGTTATTTTGTGACGATACTTCACACTTTCCTTCACCATTCTTCACAAGAATCCTATTTCGCCTCCTGGAGTAGTCTCTTCTTCCTTCTTGGTTGGAATTACCTTTACACTTCTTCGATCAATTCTTTCGTTCATAGAGCTGAAGAAGGGAGGATTTCACATTGAAAAGTCAAACTCTTTTTCAGAAGAATCTTTATCCAGGATATTCTCAAAAATTTCAAATATCGGACCATGTGTCTCACCTTCAGATCTTTTCCCAGTTTGAAGTTTAAGCTAGAGTGTTAGATTTAGACGGCTTACTGTTATGTGATCGTTGAGAGAGTTGTTGTCAATGATTCCTTGAGCAATATCAATGCTTTCTTTGGATATGTCCGAGCCTACAAAAGACCACCCAAACTCCTTATTGCCAAGAATTGGGTAAATACAGTTTGCTCCTACTCCAATATCAAGTCCTTTAAGAGGTTTATCAACAGATTCTTGCTGCTCGAATAGATCTCGGATCCAGTAGATATATTCTCTCCTTGAAGGAACTGCTGGGACTAAACCTTCCTCTTCAGGTAAATCATAATGAGTAATCCCATAATCAAATTGTAGGATGGCTTTGTTAAGGTAGTAAGCTTGTCCTTTTTCCTTCCAATTCAGAGTATACTTATGCTTAGCCTCATCAACCCCTTGCTCAGTTAAAACTGGCTTTAGTCTAGGCTCAAGCTTTGCTAATTCTTGGTAATCATAATCATCTTCTTTGGGAGTGAAAGATTTGATGTCTTTATGGTGATCTCTTGTGTCAGAATTCTTTCTGTATCTAGCTTGTTTGGCTAAGATATAAGCTGATACAGGATTTTCTCCCTTTTCATTATTTTTAGAAAATTCATCGTTACTCCTCTTATGAGGATTCTTTCTCTTCTTCATATCTTTATGTGGATCAAGACCAAACAACTTCTTTCTTTTATCATCACTGAGGAATTTTCTACCTTCTTTAGGTCCTTTATACTGTACTGGAGCTTTGTTAATAGCTTGCAGTTCATTATCTTCATCTTCGAACTCGTTCATAGTGTCTATATCATTGTGACCTGCTGTTTTCTCTGGAATTTCCTATTTCTCTTCTTTGTATCATAATCCTCATTATTCTTGTTCTTATTCCTCCTTTTACCCTTGCGGCCACCTCTTTTCTTCCTGTATGGATTCTCTTGGGGTTCAGACATCTCTCTGTAGGCTAATTTTTCAAATTATTATAACTTTTCTGGGGTTTTGGGGTTTTGGGGTTTTGGGGTTTTGGGG